CAGGAGTCGTTCTTCGAGTCGTTCTTCCAGCCACCTGTAGGAGTCGCTGGCCCCCTTTCTGTCCCGCCTGATGGACTGACTGACGCGGCCAGCTGCCCCTGTCAGGCCCAGACCCCCCCAGACCACGAGACGTTGATCTTTTCCACATTTTCGGCTCATGGCGGAGGGTCACGGGCCCCTAGGACAATCAAACAAAAACACCTCGGGATGAAAAGCTGGCCCAGGGTAGGGGTCGAGAGGTCTGAAGGCCCATATCTCAAAACATGCAGCCGCTGGACGCCTGGGTACCCAGCCCCGGTGCATTACAGTGGAGGCCAGTCCACAAGAAACCTTCCACAGAAAATCCAACCCTCAGATCCCAGGACGTCCATTGATTCCTGGTGTGGGGACGTCGCGCCTTCCATGGCAAGATCATCGAAGCCGAAGAATCCCAGGGCACCCTGGAGGCAAGCAGGATGTTCCTGGTCATGGGCCTCCACTGTAGAGGCCACGACCGAGAACATGTTCACAAGAACAATCTGCGCCAGCCTTTCTGCAGACTCGTGGGCAGGCGACGAGGCGGCCCCTGCGCGTACGGCGACGTGCGCGTGCAGAGTGAAGGCTGCGAGCTGAGCTGGCCCTGTGTAAGGCTTGTGAGGGAAAGTCGAGACCATGCTCCTTCTCTGTCTTGGTCGTTAGCTTTTTTTCTAATTTCTCTCTCTCTCTATCTCTCTCTCTCTCTCTTTCACTGTCTCTCGCTCTCTCTCTCTCTCTCTCTCTCCTCCCTCTCCTTGCATATAGAGGTACCTATACGACCACCCTTCGGGTGATAAGGATGTGAAGGGGGGAGGGCGAACCAACGTGTCACTCAATACATCTCGCGATCGATCCCACTATCGTTTTCACTATCGATATCACTCGATCGATCTCACTATCGATCTCACTATCGATGTCACAACTGATCTCACAACCGATCTCATTATCGATCTGATTCTGTCGATCTCACTATCGATATCACTATCGATCTCACATTCCGTTGCACTGTCGATCTCACTATCGATCGCACACTCGATCTCACATTCGGTCTCACTAGCGATCTCACTATCGATCTCACCATCGATCCCACATTCGGTCTCATAAACGATCTCACTATCGATCTCACTATCGATCTCACGATCGGTCTCACAGTCGATCTCACTATCGATCTCACGACAGGACACCGACGGGACACCGACGGGACAACGGCGGGCAACCGACAGGACAATGTTCACTATCGATATCACATTCGGTCTCACTATCGATCTCAACCGATGTCAATCGATCTCACATTCGGTCTCACCATGGATCTCACTATCGATCTCTCTATCGATTTCACTATCGATCTCACGATCTCACTATCAATATCACAATCGATCTCACAATCGGTCTCACGATCGATCTTTCATCCGATGTCATAATCGGTCTTACTATCGATCTCACTATCGATCTAACTATCGATCTCACAATCGATCTCACAATCGATCTCACTACCGATCCCACTATCGATCTCACATTCGATATCACAATCGATCTCACTTTCGGTGTCACTATCAATTTCACGATCGATCTCACCATCGGTCTCACTATCGATCTCACTATCGATCCAACATTCGTTCTCACATTCGGTCTCACAGAAAATCTCACTATCGATCTCACCATCGATCTCACTATCGATCCCACTATCCGACTATGGATCTCACAATATATCTCACTATCGATCTCACATTCGGTCTCGCTATCGATCTCAATCGATATCACAATCGATCTCACATCCGGTCTCACTATCGGTCTCACTATCGATCTCACTATCGATCTCACTATCGATCTCACGATCGGTCTCACAGTCGATCTCACTATCGATCTCACGACAGGACACCGACGGGACACCGACGGGACAAAGGCGGGCAACCGACGGGACAATGTTCACTATCGATCTCACATTCGGTCTCACTATCGATCTCCATCGATCTCACAATCGATCTCACAATCGATCTCACATTCGGTCTCGCTATCGATCTCACTATCGATCTCACGATCGATCTCACGATCGGTCTCACTGTCGATCTCACGATCGATCTCACGACAGGACACCGACGGGACACCGACGGGACAACGGCGGGCAACCGACGGGACAATGCGCGCCACCGCTTGACAACGCCGGGGGGGGGGGGGGAAAACATTTGTGTTGGCGGACCCCTAGCGACGGCAGAGTGAATTCCTCTCGCCCGCCCACGCAACTTCGCCTCGCCCGCACGCACGACACGAACACGAAACCGAAACCGATTTCCCGGTGGGGGGCTCTCCGTTGCACTTCGATCTCACCCCCTCACCTCCGATGTATGTGTGTGTAAATATATCTCGGAAGTTGGGGGGGTGAGCGGAAGAGACCCCAACCGGGAAATCGGTTTCGGTTTCGGTGGTTGTCCCGCGGTTGTCCCATTGGTTGTCCCGATGGTTGTCCCGATGGTTGTCCCGATGGTTGTCCCGATGGTTGTCCCGATGGTTGTCCAGATGGTTGTCCCGATGGTTGTCCCCATGGTTGTCCCGGTGGTCGTCCTGATGGTTGTCCCGATGGTTGTCCCCATGGTTGTCCCCATGGTTGTCCCGATGGGTAGTGGTTGTCCCGATGGTTGTCCTGATGGTTGTCCCGATGGTTGTGCCGATGTTTGTCCCGATGGTTGTCCCGATGGATAGTGGTTGTCCCGATGGTTGTCCTGATGGTTGTCCCGATGGTTGTCCCGATGGTTGTCCCGATGGTTGACCCGATGGTTGTCCCCATGGTTGTCCCGATGGTTGTCCCGACGATTGTCTTGATGGTTGTCCCAATGGTTGTCCCGATGGTTGTCCCGATGGTTGTCCAGGTGGTCGTCTCGATGGTTGTCCCGATGGTTGTCCCGATGGTTGTCCCGATGGTTGTCCCGATGGTTGTCCCGGTGGTCGTCCCGATGGTTGTCCCGATGGTTGTCCGACGGTTGTCCCGACGGTTGTCCCGATGGTTGTCCGACGGTTGTCCCGACGGTTGTCCCGATGGTTGTCCCCATGGTTGTCCCGATGGTTGTCCCGATGGTTGTCCCGATGGTTGTCCCGATGGTTGTCCCGATGGTTGTCCCGATGGTTGTCCCGATGGTTGTCCGGATGGTTGTCCCGACGGTTGTCCCGATGGTCGTCCCGATGGTCGTTCCGATGGTTGTCCCGATGGTTGTCCACATGGTTGCCCGGATGGTTGTGCCGATGGTTGTCCCCATGGCTGCCCCAGTGGTTGTCCCGATGGTTGTCCCCATGGCTGCCCGATGGTTGCCCCGATTGCTGTCCCGATGGTTGTCCCGACAGTTGTCCCGACAGTAGTCCCGATGGTTGTCCCGACGGTTGACCGGATAGAGAGGTCGATAAATAGAAACATGGAAATAAAGATAAATTAGTTAGATCGAGGCAGGCGGAAGAAGGTGATATTTATCTGCCCACGCACTCTTTGCTAGCGGCAGATGGGGGTCATCGCACATCGACCGCCTCCCCCTTCCCCCTCCGAACCTCACCCGTAGGGTGGTCTTATCTGTACATATATATATATATATATATATATATATATGTACACGTGCACGTGTATGTGTACATAGCAATTTATAGTTGCACACGCAAGCGTGTAAATGTACGTGTACGTACGTGTACATTTTCGTGTATACACATATATATATGTATAGTTGTCTCCGGCCTCCTTAGAAGACTTCCGTGTCTTGGGGAAGGCTTGAGAAACCTCTCAGAAGGCCGGGGAGCTTTCGAGCCTTCTGAGAAGGCCCGCCCCTTCTCACTTCCCCCAGGGCTCGCCGCCGAGGCAAGGCAACGCAAGGATCGGGTGTTGCTAGACGTGCCCCTGGCCCAAGGTGCCCCCAGGATTTCCAAGGATGCCCCCACGGCCCCCATGGCACCCCTCACAAGGCCCAGAGGGCCCCAGGGGCTCCAAAATGGAGGGACAAGCTGGGCGCACCTTGAGCCAGGGGTACACGTCGTTCCCCAATCAGAGCTTGCTTCTGTAGGGGTCCTAGCGGATATAAAGCTGAGGTGAGGTCGGCGGCCGATTTCGGTGGCCGGGGCTGGGTGCCAGGGTGCCCGGGGGTGCCTGGGTGGCCGATTTCGGTGGCCGGGCCCGGGTGCCCGGGTGCCCGGGTGCCCGGGGGTGCCCGGGTGCCCGGGGGTGCCCGGGTGCCGGGGGGTTCCCAATAGCCCAATAGCCCAGTAGCCCTATAGCCCTATAGCCCTATAGCCGTATAGCCCTATAGCCCTGTAGCCCTATAGCCTTATATCCCTATAGCCCTAATAGCCTTATATCCCTATAGCCCTATAGCCCCATAGCCCATATAGCTCTATAGCCCCATAGCCCTATAGCCCTATGGCCCTATAGGTCACAGTCCTATAGCCCTATAGCCCGATAGCCCTATAGCCCTATAGCCCGATAGCCGTATAGCCCTAACAAAAATCTGATTGGGTTTTTTTCTCCGGTATCATTTATTTCTAATCGTGCTCATTTCTAATGGTGCTCGTTCCTAATTGTGCCTGGCCCCCTGGTGGCTAGGAAGAGGCCCAGGAGAGAACACCTAGGAAAGAGGGGATCTTGGCCCCCCAGAAAACCAGAGGACTTTCGAATCATTAGAAATTTAACAACGTGTGCCTCCAGCAGCCCCCGAGAGGACGGTCGAAGGTCCGCTGCCGGAGATCAGGGCAGCCCTCGGCCTCTGCGTGGAGAGCCGCCACCGTGCCGCGGGCACCGCGAGCGGAGCGCCACCGGGTCCCGTCGAGCTCTCCGTGTCGATCCCGGTCGGACCTCCGACGAAGGCCCCGGCAAGGTCCAGGAGGCCCTCGCGACAGTTTCTGAGACCTCCGCCACAATCCTGCGTCCTGCGAAGACCTTTGGGCTTGGGCCCCGCGAGTGGTTCTCGTGCGAGCCTTTGGGTTAGACCCCAGGGATAAGCCAAGAGTAGGCCTAGGAGCAGGCCCTACAAGCCTCGTCAAACATATCCAGAAGTGGAAGTTGAAATCCTGGAGCACGATGCTTTCGGGCACTTGTCGGAAAGCGCGATCTTCCATGCTGAGAGGGTGGGCCGGCTTTTTGACAACACCGCGCCCGAGCCAACAGGCATCCGTCAGCATTGGAGTAGCGCTGACCCCGCAATCACCGAATTGAGAAGAGTTCTGCTTATTTTTGACGACGCTTGTAGGATAGAAGAACATCCTTCAAGAGCATGAGACCGTCCGCCGGCCAAAACACACGGAACATCCAAGGGTACCCTCCCCAGGATGCGCAAGAGCATCCAACAAACACGAAGAACACTGGGGTTCCCTCCCCGAGCTGAGCTCGATCTTATACCTTGGTCCGACCGTGATGCAAATGCTCCTTCAAGGGCCTGGAACCCCGAACCACAAGCGTTCTCAGGCGCTCCTCTTTTCAACCGCGTGACTTTTCTCGAGGCCTCGGGAGCGCGGTCAGGAATCCGCGCTTCCAGCACGGCCTGATGTTGCTCCATGGTCCATCCTGGAACGCTCTTGAGCTCTTGTGGGCCTCTTCGGCGATCTCCTTCCGAGCCTTCAGGAAGGCCCCAGGGGCCCAATCGATTGAAAAGTCACGCGGCTTACAAGATGGCCCCTGAGACCGCCAGCAGGCTGGGGCCCGCATGAGGCTCCCGAGGCGCCCCCAGAGGCCTTCAATCGGCTTTCACGAGACCTCGAAGAACCCCCCACGAGGCTTCCAAGAGACCCCCCCAAGAGGCTCCCCCCCGAGGCTTCTGCGAGGCCCCTTGCCTACAACCCGGGGGCGGTTGCGAGATGGGCCGAATGCCACTGGATTCGGATGCGCGAGCTCTACCTGTCGGGAGGAGGACGAAGAGGAGGAGATGGACGCGGGCCACGTGGCCCCTTGCCGAATCGTCGAGGGACCGTGCTGCTGCCATCCGTCTGGGCTGCCCCACCCTGTCTGAGACCCAGGCACCGCGGCGAGGCGTCCTGGAAAAGACAGCCCCCCCACAGTACAAACCTATGACGAAGATGGCCAACTGCTGCAACACAACACTTTGGCTACCGCTGCCGTGCTGTTTGTGGTCACGCGCGCGTGCTTGGCTGCACCGTGCTGCCAGGACCAATTCGTGGTCGTCACTGTGTGCTGCCTGGCACATCGGAGCGAAGCAATGCACATCATGATCCATCCTCTGCTCCGGACGTAAAAAATGACGAGGGTGATGAGGATACGCATCAACGTCTGAGAAGCTGTAAGTTACGGCCTGGCCGCTTGCCTCTCTCACCACTCTTCGACACGGCGTCCTCAAGCCACTGCTACTGCTCATCCTCAAACCCCTGTCCTCCATGTCCCTCTCCGCCGTCCCGCTTCACTCTGCCCGCCATGCTGGCTGATGGCGCTGCGGCGCTACGTCGCTGCGCTGGCCTGCAGGAGAGAATGATAACCTCCTCTGATCCGAAGCCCTGCAAACCAGCACTGCGTGCCACGCACCCAGCGTGAAAAATGAAGCAGGCCGCTACTCTTCAGACAGGCTTTAAGGAATAGGGGGCCGCCCCTGTCGTTGGTGGAGCTGCTGTTGTCGTTGGCTTTGCCCTTGCTATCGGTCGCATACCTACCCCACTGCCATTCATATGTCAACGGTACGTTTCGCAATCACCAGCATGATCATTATCACCTTCCCCACCGCAAAGGCACAATCATCACCTTCGCTGCTACCACTCCCACCACCAGAATCATAACTGTCAGCGCAACCATGAACATCACAGCCGTACACATTATACTGACATGTACATCTCTCTATATATATATATATATACACATGTAAAAAAACATGTATCTACAGGGCCGGCCGCGGACATCCTGCATCCAGTGTTGGCTACGCAGTGAGATGCCATACATTGTGTGCGTGTGGTTCAAGCTACTATGCGGTGCAAGCTGCGTGGTGTAATCTACATGGTGTAGCTTCTCTCAATATACCCAGGTATGTACGTGAAGAAATGATGTGACACAACATTCGTGGTGCAAGCGCGGTGCAATCTATGTGTGCGTCCAGAAGCGCCAGCCAGCGCGCGAAGCGCTCGAGAGGTGCTCACGGGCGGGCACCATCCGAAAATCGGGAAAGCACGCACTGGGCGCCCACGAGCAGCTCACGCGCGGGCACCAGGCGACAACCCAGAAAACCGAGCCGCCCCACGGGGCGCTCGCGAGGTGCACACGGGCGGATGCTGGGCGGGCACCAAGGCGAGCACCCAGCCAGCGCACGGGGCGCCCAAAGAGGCGCTCTCGCGCGGACACCGGGTGACAACTCTGAAGACCCAAGCAGCCAGCTATTCCGAAACAGCCCCACAGTGCACAAACCCTGGAGAACAAGTTTGGGCGTCTCTTGCTTCTTTTTTTTACCAGCGCAACACCCTAGAACAATCGATCGGATGTCTAGCGTCGGGCCCGTCCGAAAACCAACCGTAAACACGGCGCAACCTCGAGAAAGCGCAGAGCGACGAGGCAGAGGGCAGAGCGTCTATTGCTTCCGCCAGCTTCCGCCAGCCTTCCGCCGGCTTCGGCTGGCGGGATCGCCCTCTTTTTGACTTCCGCCGCCTTCCGCCCTCTCCCGCCGAGGGAGAGACTTCACTGAAGGGGCCCCAGGACACACAAATAAACACACACAGTTAAAAGGATTCCCCATATTTCCCCATATTTTCTGGGTTTTTGTCTTCCCCCCCACTTCCCATATTTTCCCATATTTTCTGGGGAATCGGCGATTAATTGTGTCTGTGTGTTTCTTTCCCTCCTGAGTGGAGCAAGACCGCGAGCCTTCTCGCCGGAGGCTCGAGGCCCCCCCCCGGGGGGATGCCACAAAACGAGGAGCACCCCGCGGTTGAGAAGACTCCCAGCACGCAGAAGACAAGGGCGTTCCTCTGCAGCCCGCATGCCGGCTACAGCTGCACGTCGCTCATTTCTCATCGCGCTCACGTCTGATTGTGCGCGTCTCTAGTGGTTTCTGGCCCCCTAGTGGCCAGGAAGAGGCCCAGGACAGAACAATTAGACATGAAAGGATCTGGGCCCCCCAAAATTGAAGAACTTTCGAAGCTTAGACATGAACAATAGGTGCCCCTCTTGGCATGGAAGAAACGGGTCTGGGACCCCGGGGCTGTCAGTTGGGACCACTCCTTCGCCCGGAACTGCTCTCGGACGGCCACGGGGCCCCCGGGGAGGGCCGCGGGGACCGCGAACACCGTGAAGGCCTCGGGGTCCGTTCACTTGGTAGTCCCCAAACGTGGTGGTGACAACACCTGGCGGTGAGTCTCGGGCGATTTGGTGTCACCACCCGGTTTGGGGACTCGTGCGGTTTTCCGAGGATGTCCCGGACACTGGTGGGTCCAGGAGTCACAAAATCTGGTGGTGACCCCGCGTCCCCAAACCCAGCGGTGACCTTTTTGGGGATTCCAGGTCGCCACCTGGTATCTCACCACCGGGTTTGGGGGTTCCCAGTTCGCCTAAGGACCCGCTTGCCCCACGAGGGCGAGCATGCTGTCGTGCTGCGACTGGCTCCGGAGACGCCCCAGGACATTCCGGAATATCTGGCGCGGCCCTCGCTTCTGGAACCAGTGCGGGACAACAGGCCATCCTGGGAATCGAAGGATTGCAAAAAAACACAGGATTGCAAAAAAACGAAGGATTACAAAAAACCATGTTTTTTTTGCAAACCCTGTTTTTTTTGCAATCCTGTTTTTTTTTGCAATCCTTGGTTGTTTTTTGCAATTTTCGAGATGTGTCATCATTTTTGCTTCTCCCAGTCATGGCGACCACCACCACCGCCATTCGGGCGTGGGCGGTCCTGGGACTGGTTGGACAGAGCTACCAGAGCTGCCTGGTGGTCCTGGCCCCTTTCCACTAACCAGAGCTGCCGTCACCAGAAGAAATACCAGCTACGGCAGACGTGGTGTTGTGGTTCTGGTCAGTGGTTTGGGCTTCGGGGCTCAATCACTAATCGGCTTCCCTCACCCAAAGCCCTGGCTAGCCCGACCCATCACAAGCGCAATCACCGCCACCGGCGCCGCCAGCGTCCTGTCGCCACCGCTGCTTCGGCTGCGCAGCTCCAATTGCCGCCCTCCCGACGCGCTTCCGGCTTGGGCAGATGCTTTCCAGGACCCGCTCGGTGGCCTTTCTCTACTACGGGCATCGTGCTACCATGGGCAAGCCATAGGAGGAACGAGGTGGCTTTCCTGGCCAAGGCGAGCCTCGGCCACGAACAGGCTCCTCGACCCAGATCTACGGAGCAGGAGAAGGATGATGATGCTACTGCTGATGATGATGAGGATGATGCTGATGATGACGACGCTGATGCTGATGCTGATGCTGAAGGTGCTGATGATGAGGATGATGCTGATGATGACGACGCTTCTGACGATGACGATGACGATGCTGACATGGTGATGATGATGATGCTGATGATGATGATGACGACGGCAAAGATGTTGATGCTACTGCTGCTGCTGATGATGATGCTGATGATGATGCTGATGATGCTGATGATGACGATGATGACATGACGATGATGATGCAGATGATGATGATGATGATGGTGATGATGATGATGACTCTGATGTTTATGATTCTGATTATGAGGCTGATGGTGATGATGACGGTGATGATGATGAAAAGGAAAAGAAAGGATGGAATAAGGGATGGAGGGGGAAAGATGAGAGAGGAGGGATGACGACCAAGAGTAAGGAGGATGGGGACGAGGACGAGGACGAGGACGAGGAGCAATTTTCGGGGGGGGGGGGGCAGGCCGGAGCAGGCTGAGGCGGAACGAGTCGGACTGCAGAGATGTCGACAGGCTTCTAGGATCTCTGAGGGAAGGGTCGAACTATGAGGTTCGTTTCAGTTTCAGTCTCAGGGGCGCTAGTGAAGCGGCCCTGGGACACACAAACCAACAGACACAAATAACAGGATTTTCAATATTTCCCACATTTTCTGGATGTTCGTCTTCCCCCCCACTTCCCATATTTTCGCATATTTTTGGGGGGAATCGACGATTAATTGTGTCTGTGCTTTTTTTCTCTCCTGAGTTAGGACAGCCGCGTCTGATCAGAGGGCACGCAAGGCACTGGGCAACCCCGGCTTCACTCCGGCTGAGCCTTCATCGCAGGACAACGGGGAAGGAGGGAGGGAGGGAAGCAGACAGAGGCGGGAGCAAGGAGCAGAGGGAAGGCGGCATCTTCGCCCGCGCTCCCCATGTGGCCACGGCTTCCCGCCGGAGCCCGACGTGCTCAGGAACACGCTCGTGGGCGGCGAAGCAGCGCCAGGAGGACCCGGCCATCCCCAGCCTCCGCGCGCCAGGGGCCAGTGCCTGCGGACGCCCAGGGGCGCCAACCTGGCGTGGCTCGGGGTGGCAGCCGAGCAGCCGGCGGCAGGCGGCGGGGAGGCCGGTGCGGCCAGCTCCAGCGGAGGCCACAAGAGCGGGCGGGCGGGTGGCCGCGCGCCCGCGCGCCGAGGCCGCTGCCGGTGCTCTCGCCGCGCCCGGCGGCGGCGGCGGAGCGCCCGGAGCCAGCGGCGAGCCTGCGCGCAGAGGCCCTGGCTGCGGCGGCAGGCGGCCGCGTGGAGCAGGGGCTCGCGAGGGCCTCCTGGCGGCCTGCGGCCCGAGCGAGGCCGAGCCGGCTGCCCGCGCGGAGGCTGCCGTCGGCGCGGTCGAGCGCAGGCGGGCGCGCTGCCGCACGGACCGCCTCGGAGCCAGGTCCGAGGATAGCTGGTGAGTGAGTGTAGTATCGGTTCTCCTCGAGGGCAGTTCACTTGCTCGTTCGGGTCAGTCTGATCGGGTGTAGGATCTGTTCTTTTCGATGGCGGTTCGCATGCTCGTTCTGGTTGACAGTTTGATCGAGTGTAGCGTCTGTTCTTGTCCTGTTGGCAATTCACTTGCTCGTTCTGGTTGAGCGCGGTCGTTTCGTGATGCCCGAATGCCGTGCTCTGGGGGTGGGCTTGGCGTCTGGGGGGGCCCTAAGTCACGCCTGCCGGCTGGCCCACCACCGCCTGCCCTGGCCCGTGTGGGCCGCCCCGTTTTTGGAGAGTTTTGGTGGGGAAACTCCCTTAAGCCTTTAAGGCCACGATTTTCACTTTCACAGAGGGAAGGCAGCGAAAACGACGGAATGGTGAGAATGGAGTTTTGGGAGGAACGATGAGGAGGGAGTTGCGGAGGAGGAGTCTCCTCTCGGCTCCTCCTCCTCCTCCTGCTCCTCCTGCTCCTCCTCCTCCTCCTCCTCCTCCTCCTCCTCCTCCTCTTATTGCTCCTCCCCCTCCATTGTCACTTTGGCTCAAGCCGTCCTGCGGATGACCCTCTGGCTCGAGCTGGCATGGCCGCGCAGGCGGGCGCTCGCTGCGATCTTGACGAGTGTGCACGCGGGCTGCACGACGCCGCCGCCGCCGCCGCCGACAACGACTGCGACGACGACGCCGACGCCGACGCCGACGCCGACGCCGACGACGACGACGCCGACGCCGACGACGACGCCGACGCCGACGAATACGCCGACGCCGACGCCGACGACGACGCCGACGACGACGACGACGACGCCGACGCCGACGCCGACGCCGACGCCGCCGCCGACGCCGCCG